AGTTCCTCCATTTTGTTGAGTAATGTTGTCTAACAATCAATGATTATAGCATGGATGTATGTTTTGCTTTTAAAATGATATGCATATCCTTGATGCAATACGTGACCGCTTCCGATGTCCCAAATCTCGTCCTTGTACAACCATTTTGTAGTAAATTAATTGACAAATATCTTGTATAATAAAAAAAACAATAGAATATATCTTCACAATTACCCATAATCTCTTTTTGATGCAAAAATTAAATTATATATTTCCATTTCCTCCTTCTTCACTTTATCACCAATTCGAATAATTCTTTCAACAAACGGTGACTTTCCATACACAGCTACGTTTGGTCCTCTTTTCCCCCTTTATCCGTTCTCATCATCTTCAACAGCATCTGCAATCTCCTTGCATATATTTCTTTTTTTATCTGCACTATTTCCTGCCACTGTTTCCAATATTTCTTTTCCTTTTTTCTTTTTGTGTTTTTGATCCTCTTTAGGTATTCTTCACCATTAAACCCATTTTTCATATTGATTTTTCCATTCTTTCAGAATTTCATTTCCTTTTTCAAAATTTGGCATCAATATGAAGTCTTCCCCATCATTTAGTAACCCCAACATATCATGCACGGTGTCTTTGGTAATTGTAATCACAACATTCTTTAGAACTAGACGACTACTTTCTGGATCATAGTGATCTAAGAGATAGTAGTTAAGTAACCCCGGAGTATTGTCCATGTCAATATTCAATAGTGATCTAAAACCCATACACACAATCCCATTTTTTGTGCATGGGACATCACTTTTACAGCTGCACTAATCCTTCCCAGATTCATTCTAGTTGGAAGTCTTCGTAAACCTGGTGGATACTCCTTACTCACTTTTCTAACATTATCATAAATCTGTTTCAAATTCACATTCTCATACTCCTTATTCCCCTTTTTTTCTCTTGGGAGATTTCTTTTTCTCTTGGGAGATTTCTTTGACTGTATATCAATCATAACCTTTTCACCTTTACCATTATCTTCCTTCACTTCCATATTCATACCAATTCCTACATTTTCATTTTTTTCTCTTTGATCCCATCTCACTCTCCATAAATAATTTATTCAAACCTCTTGCTTTTTTTCTTTTCAGGCTATGCTCCTCCAGAATTATTTTTCACCTTTTCAGGTGTTCCTCTTGCAGAATATTTCCTTTTTTTCCGCTTTTTACACTTTTACTAACAATATTAATCGGCTCTTGTTCAGCTTGGGCACCAACTGCTGAATCGCATAAACACAGTTAGTTACTCTCCATTCATTCTTACAGAATATCAGTCTTTCCATCACCATTTACAAAAACTAAATATAATATACAATTACTATTAATCATTTTGATAGAACACTTAATTGTATAATAATTCTGAAAGAATTGCATATACTAAAATTACAAAATATTCTAACATAACTTTAAGTATTCAACTCCTAAACCAAATAAAAAAAAGTACCTGTATAACATAATAAAATACACAGATACTCTTCATCATTCTAATAGAAACAGTATGATTTGATTCCAACAGAATGAAATGTTTCATCATTCATTCTTACAAAATTTAAATCTTTCCATCACACCTTCATAACGTAATAAAATACACAAATGCTCTTCATCATTCTCATAGAAAATGGAACGCCTGGTTCCTGGTACGCATTTATGTATAATTTATTCATTTTAATAGAGCTACTCGAAGAGTTGGAAGCCCTAGACTCGTCGAGTAGAAACGAGTTTTGGACGCGGGTTTTAGGCAATCTACTCGACGAGTCGAGAGCCCTCGACTCGGCGAGTAGGTCTGCCAGAGTGAAACCCTAATTTCGGGGTTTTGCACCCTATTTAAGCATCTTAATCCCCACCTTTTGGCCTCATTTCCAGCCTCCAAGTCCCAAACCCTAATCCTCAAAACCCTAGAGCATTTTGTGAGTGTGTGAGCCATTCTTGAGTAACTTTTGTGTGTTCTTGAAGCTTGAAGAAGAAGAAGGAGCTAGAGGGTTCAAGGAGACGATAGTAGATCCAGAGACTTCCTTCCATCCCCTTCACTTTCTGGTAATCAAGTCTCTAACTTGATCATTTGTTCATTAGATCTCATTATGTCCACTTTTGAGGGTTTTTGTCCAAGAAGCTTGAACCTTGTGATTTGGACGTCCCAAGCAAGGATCCTTTCAGATCTGGGATCATTAAGGGTTGTTAAGGAATAAAGGTGCAAACTTTATGCCATTGAAGCCCCCATGCAAGCTCTAAGGTGTTGTTATGGACTTTTGTGCCCCAAAAGGCCATGCATGGAAGGAAAGTCTGAGGCTTTACGTGTTATTGTGGTATCTAGGACCTAGATCTGGGTTTTCATGCTTTGGTTTGGAGTAATAAGGCCTTTGGACAAAGTTCTATGTCCTAAAAGAACTAGGGTTTTAGCTAAACCCATTAAGAAGGGTTATCAACGGGTAAAGTTGGAAACTTTACCCTTAAAAGATTATTTCGAGTGTGTAGATGAAGTATGGACGTTGGATTTGGAGAGTAGAGGCTTAATCTGTTAAGATGGCCAAACAGACAGAGGAACTCATCGAGTCCATAGGGGAACTCGACGAGTTGGGTTGTGTTGTCCTGTTTTAGCTTAAGGTAGAACTTGACGAGTCGGTGAAGGGACTCGATGAGTTGATTCGATAAATCATGACTATGAGTAGCCAGGGAACTCGGCGAGTCAGGGAGGTGACTCGACGAGTTAGATCACGATTACAGGATTTTAGGACTCGGGTAGTTGATGGAGCAACTCGACAAGTTGGGTCAACCAGAAGGTTGACTTTGACCAAAGCGTTGACTTTAACCAAGGGTAAAATGGTCATTTTACCCTAAGGAGGATTATTGGGTTTTGCCTAAGTGTTATTGTGATAGTAATAGCCGGGGAGTCGTTGGAGCAGCCGTCGGAGATTCCTCACTCGGATTTTCAGCAGTCAGCTTTGCGAGGTGAGTTTCCTTCAGTAGGAACGGATCTACGGCACCAAGGCCGGCCCGTATATGTGATATGTTAGTAGCTGAGTATGGGCGGGGCCCAAATATCATAGTAGCCGAGTGTGGGTGGGGCCCGAACCTCATAGTATTATTTGAGTATAGATATGTGACTGCTTGATAGGAACATATATACTTGTTGTCTGTGTGATACTTGTATGCATGTTAGTAGCGGAGTGTGGGCGCAGCCCGAATCTCCTAGACATCGGAGTGTGGGCGGGGCCCAAATCTCTTAGACAGCGGAGTGTGGGCGGGGCCCGAATCTCCTAGACAGTGGAGTGTGGGCGGGGCACGAATCTCCATGAGAGTGGGCGGGGCTCGTATCTCCTAGTTGCATGTTATGTGTATGGTATGTGATAGTTTGGGGAGACTCACTAAGCTTCGTGCTTACAGTTTTCAGTTTTGGTTTCAGGTACTTCGACTAGCAAGGGGAAGAGCTCGGGATGACTGCATGACACACACCACAGTTTATAGCCTGGGATGTTTTAGACTCTGATGTTTTGACACATGGTTTTGATACAGTATCTTGATATGATGTTTTGGGAATACATAACTTGTGATTGTATTATGATGTTGATGAATTATGGTTTTCTTAAATAATTTTAAAACGAAATTTTTGGACTGTATTTTTGGGATGTTTCAAGTTGGTATCAGAGCCTTGGTTTGAGGGATTCGGATACGCTCTCGGGTGTGTCTGAACTCAAACTAAGGAATTGGTATGAAAATTTTCTAAAGAAAATCGTTTTATAAAAAGAACTTTGAAAAGAGAAAAGAATTTTGAAAAGAGAAAATGGTGTGGTTCATGCAATCAATCGAGCTTATTTTGAATCTGCCGCTTAAACGCTCTAGCGTACTTGGCCGACAGAACATGTAATATTCATATATGAATATGTATATGGATATGTATATTCATATATGAATAAGTGTATTCATATATGAATAAGTATAGAGGTACTGACTATTCATATATGAATATGACGACGATGGATGGTGGCGGAGGTGGCGGTGGTGGTTGGTGTGGTGATGGTGGTGGTCGGTGACGGAGGGGAGGTGGTGGATTCATATATTAATACACTTATATTTATATTCATATATGAATATTACTTATCATCTGTCGGCCGGTACGCAAAACTTTTTGCGACAAAAATAAATAATTGGCTGAGAATGATTTTCCCATTCTCAACTTTTGTTATTTTTTCTCAATTGAACTAATATATATATATATATATATATATATATATATATATATATATATATATATATATATATAAAAGATCGGGTGAAGACTCATCTTAAAGTGAGGACTCGTGAGGAAATCTTAAAAAAATTGAAAAAAATCTAAAAAAAATACAAATTATAAAATCGAGCATATATCTATGTCCGGGAGAAAAAAAATGAAAAAAAAATTGGATCTCTAAAATTGAATCATGGATCATAATAATGCAAAATAAAAAAGTAAAATTGAATCATGGATCAATTTTAATGATGCAAAATTTTTTTCTAATTTTTTTTCTCCCGGACATAAATCTATGCTCGATTTTATGATTTGTATTTTTTTTAGATTTTTTTTTCAATTTTTTTTAATGTGTACTCACGAGTACTTACTTTAAAATGAGTCCTCACAAGTACCGGACCTATATATATATATATATATATATATATATATATATATATATATATATATATGTTTTCCAAAATATTTTAATTTTAATCCTATATTAAACTATTATATGTTTTTATTTGCTATTCTTCATAGAATTTGTAAATTTCAATAGAAAAGAGTAAATGTTTCTCCTAAAGAAAAGGAAGTAATGTTGGACATAAGAGAGTAAAGTTGAAAAATAGTCCTATCTACTAGGATCACAAAAGATATCCGACCACAAATTTAAGGGTAGTAAATGAAACTCTTTAAAATTCCAAGGACATTTTTAGAAACTAACCGAAAGCCCGCCCCCTCCGTCCCTGCATATAAGATATACTTGTTCAGATTCTGTTTTGATTTGCCTCTCTCTCTCTCTCATCAATGGAGCTTCAGCGTATCCTCTCTTACATCTTCTTCCTACTTTTCCTATTCACAATCTCTGGTAATTTTACGTCAGAATTTTCAATCGACATCGACAAAACTAGTTATTTCAGCTCTTTCCTTTTGTGTATTGAATTGCCTGCTGTGTCTTTGTGTAGGAGAATCAGTATGGGGGAATGGAGAAAATCAAGGAATGAAGACAGTGAATTGTCAAAAGAGCAGCGGATTTCGGCCGACGAAGCTTTTTGTGTTCGGAGATTCGTATGCTGACACCGGAAACAACCCGAAATCGCTGGCTAGTTCATGGAAAACCCCTTACGGTCTCACTTTCCCTGGAAAACCCGCCGGAAGATACTCCGACGGCCGTGTACTCACCGATTACCTCGGTATGATCCAAACACCATTACTTGCTTTCATTATATGCATAAAGATTCAATTCCCACGCGTCCTCTTGGAAACATAAAAATTACCAGCTGCTTTTAGTTGGAAATTTTATTATTATGGGGTCATATGTTAGAATATTATCGTTAAAACTTGTTTATTTTTTTTAGTTTCTACTGATCAAGATAACTAAAAGTTCTTTGTGAGCAATCATGCTCAATTTATTACTTAAATTGATAAAGGATTATAAGATTATTACATTAAGAAGTTAATGTCATTAAAGGAGGCTTTGATTACATTAATATTCATTGAACCTTTAAAAAAGTTTAATACTTTGACATTTTGGTATGTGAAGTATACTGAATTTAAGTATTATTTGTCAAACAATCCGTTTTCCTTTGTGAGAAGTTGTTTTTGTAAAGTGAAATTAAATATCATCATATATTTCTTCGTGCTTAGTATTTCTACTTAAAAACAAATGTCTTAAAATATTATTAATTTTATCAAAATATAACACTTATTAACATTTTATATGGATAGAAAGATAAATAGAAAAAAAAGATAATTGAATACTATTAAAATTTTCTTTTGTAAATATTTATATAATATCTTTATAAATTTTATTCAAATTTATTAAATAGTGTTATATTGTTTTTGTATACACACATACTACATCTATATAGGTATCTATATACTTAGAGAGGATAGATCCAAGATAAAATTGCACAAATGATCCTTGTGGCACACAAAAAATACCACTGCAAATTCTTTTGAGAAAATTTTAAAATGATTGGTTATTTTCAGGTTTAAAACACACGATAGATAGTTGTGGTTGGCAAAAAAAATGAACCACCATGTACGTTTTAAACCTGAAAAATGATCAATCATGTTAAAAAAAATCTTTAAAAGAACCTGCATTGTATATTTTGCCACCTATAAGGACAATTTGTGTCATTATATTAAGATCTTATAGACAAACGTAATTCGTAAGCATATGCTTCATCTCTTCTCTTTGTCAATATCCTTATGCTTCAATCGTAAGTCACATATCTTTTATCTAACAAAATAATATTGTTTTGTTTTCTAGCAATTTCTAGAACTTCGTTGTCATTGATCAATATAAGGTCAAATATATCAATTTTCGAATTTCAATAGAAAGTGACAACTAGTATTAAAAAGTGGTTCAAATATGATCGACAAGTGAACAGTTGTGCTAATCTTTGGAAAAATCATTCGTTTCATTACCTAGATTTAAGTGGTAAACGTGTATATTAAATAATTGACATGTACTTATTATAAATAAAATAACTTGAAAAAAAAAATATTATAGATGTTGAAACATGAATTTGTGCTTTTTAAAAAGTTGGTTGGTATGATGCCACTGTTGAGTAATGATAATTAGAAAGTGGTGGTGTGATGCGCTTGCTTTTTATTTGCTTTTTTATGTTTACATATTTAATTACTATATATTATCTATAATGACCTTTGTGTCCTTCACCTTTTTGTGATGTGTGTTATGTTGTTACATGGAAGGTGTTATCCAACTTTATTTTTCAAGTAATGGCATATAGGTCAATTTAACACATGGCAAAAAAAAAAAAAAAAAAAACATTAACATTATTTTGGTCTTTACTCTTTAGCTTTCTCTTTCTATGTTTTGGTCTTTGGCTTTACTCTTTGTTCATCATCATTCCACGTCATGTCATACACTTTTGATACTTTACACTTTACCCCCTTCAACTTTCAACGTTGTTACAAAAAAAATACGTTAGTCTTTGACACGTATGCTATATTTTTCTTTCCCCAACTTTCACGTCAATATATTATCCAATAATTGTGTCAATTATGTCATTTTCACATTATTTATTATATAAAAGGAATAAAAGTTCCCTAATTAGAGAGATTATGATATTTGATATTTCTAAGTACGAAATACACACCTAAAGTAGTAAAAAAAATGTTTGGTTTCTTTTTGCCCCCCAAATATCCAACAACATTGTGTGCACGAAAGGGTACTAAATATTCTAACATAAAATAATTGAGGGTTCAAATTAGGCATTGCAATAAAACTTGAGGGACTAAAATGTTAAATACTACTTATTTGTTTTAAAACAATGTTACTTTTTATTCAAAAGAAAGCTACAACTACACAATGCATATGGTACAAGTAGACAATGCAAGTAACGATTATTGTAACTTTACTTTTGTGTAGTGCCATTGCCCATAAAAAAGAAAAAAGAGAAAGCACAAAAGCTTGCTTTTGTGAGTATATATCAAATAATTTTAGTGTTATGATGCCCTGTGCCAGCCTTAAATTGTCCCTCTTTACAATCAAACTTGCATTTTCATCTTGCACGCTAAGAAATTATTATCTAAATATATATATTCCAAAATCACCCTTCAAAATTCGTATAGATACAATCTACATCTATTTCTACTAATAAAGCGTTGTACTTTTGACCTTTTAAGTCTAATTTTTTTTTTCACTTTCAAAATATAATTTACAAAACATAAATTAGATATAATAAAATTTTAAAATACAATTAAATCAAAAAATATTGTTAGTCATGTTAGAAAATAACATAAAGTAATTAATGAAGTTTAAAAATACTATTGTTACTAAAATTAAAAATAATTTCTAATTATACTATACCATTTAATTTTATTAAGAACTAAAAAAACACACACACACATTTCCATGGAACGGAATTCAGACCGAAAGAAGGGATCACACTGTGATAGTCTAAGACCGAATCAAATATAACTGACCTGATTGAATTAGCATTAGTGATGTCTATGATTAAATCGGAGACTTCTAATTTTGGTATCAAACAGTCTAAATTTCTAATTTTGGTATCAACCCGTCTGAATTTAACTAAGTTAGCCTATTACCAAACTCAAGAAAAAGCATATCAAATAACCACTAATGAATGCTCATTTTATTCCTATATTTAAACAAATAATATATTTCCATGTCGTTTTTATGTTCGATTTTGTTTCCCTTTAGATCAAGGGGTCTAAAAAATACTATGAATTTGCAGCTAGGTTCATGGGACTCAAATCTCCATTACCATACCAATGGAGAAAATACGCGCCAAACAAACTCCGGAGTGGAGTCAATTTTGCCTACGGTGGAACCGGAGTGTTTGACACTGGCAATTTTCAGCCAAACATGAGCACACAGATTGGATTCCTTGAAGGACTAATTGAAGATTCAGTTTACGCAAAATGGGATTTGAAATCTGCGTTGGCTCTTGTCACCGTTTCCGGCAACGACTACGCTGCTTACACCTCTTCCGGTGGTTCTGACCAGGTAATTAAACCTCTCCTAACGTACATCCTTTGATGCGTAAGGTACAATCACTTCATGCGTATATGCTACATCTTTTTGGTTTTGACATTTGACGTGTTAGAAACAGTAGTTAATGTGGCTCATTTTTTAGAGCTTTAATTAATGTTCTGATTTCTGAAATCTGACTTAACTTTATACTCATTGGTTTGTTTACTACAAATGTGACACCTATTTTTCTAATTGATTGCCATGATTTTATTTTCTTCTAATAAAATCATATTTTTAAATGGGTGATGATAATAATTTATGTAGGGTTTGCCTACATTTATCACCCGTGTTGTCAATCAAATATCAATAAACTTGAAACGAATTCACGATATTGGTATACGACGAGTGGTGGTTGGTGGCTTACAACCTCTAGGCTGCCTTCCACAAATCACAGTCTCATCATCATACAATCAATGCAACGACACACAAAATTTAGCAGTCAATTTCCACAACCAATTGTTGCAACAAGTCGTAGCAACACTCAACAACAACACCAATAGTTCGGCTTTTCTCATCCTTGATCTTTTTAGCTCCTTCAACACAGTCCTAAAAAACAAAGGAGAATTCACAGGTATTTCATAAATTGATTTGTTTTCATGAAGTTGAATATAGTGACAAATTTGATTTCCATTTCCGTCGCTAATTTGTTGCTTATTAAGCATTATGCTAATTTGGTCGCGAATGTTAAATTCATGTGTAATTGTTGAATTCAGGGAGCTTGAGGTTTGATACTCCATTGAAGCCATGTTGTGTAGCCACAACAAGCGATTCCAACTGTGGAAGTTTAGATGAAAATGGAAAACAACTTTATACTGTTTGTAGTAAACCTGAGGGCACGTTCTTCTGGGACACGGTGCATCCAACACAGGCCGGATGGCGTGCGGTTTATTTGACACTTAGGTCATCTTTGAATCAAATTTACTATTAGGAGTTGTTCTTTTGCATGTTTTGTGTATCTTTTATTCTTGGTTATAAGTTAGGGAAGCCGTTTGATGGGTCCCAATCTTGAGGGATCTTTGGCGATTGTTTTGTTAAATGATAATGTGTTTTTTTAGTCTATAAAATTCGAAATTTAAATGTTATGTTGGTTAGAAGATCAAATAAAAAAGCAAGAGTCGGGCCTTTAAGTTACATATATAAACCTTCTCCTTTTGTAACCAACAAAGCTACACATTATATAATTGAATCACATCTGCTTAAATCTAGGTATTGGCTTTTGTAACATAAAATGGTCTCAATCTATATCTTTATTATATCTAGACTAAACTGCACAAATGGTCCCTGTGAAGAAAATTGTCACTTTGTTCCAAAAAGGTTTGGACTAGCACCAGAGGTCCAAAGTTTTCATTTTGTTGCGAGTTTGGTCCAATCTGCTTTGAACTTTTTCATAATGACGATTTTGCCCTTATTTTTTCCTATTTCATTAAATACTTTTCTAATTAAAAAAAATAATTTTTTATAATTTTTTTATAATAGAAAAAAAATACTCTCTCTCTCTCTCTCTCTCTCTCTCTCTCTCTCTCTCTCCACATCCCAAGAACACATACCACCATCATCTTCTTCAATCTCAGATCTTGAGATCACACCCTTTCTTGCCCGCTCCTTTTTATTCTCTCTACAAACTTAATGCAACTAATTTCTCTCAGGATCTCTCGTGCTCATCCCCTCTGTTTGCGATCGACACATTGATGTGTGTGTGTGTGTCACTGCTTTCCGGTCGAACAAACCCACACACATGAGGGTTTTTGTGCGCCATTGATTAAATCACAGTTACCTGTTGCTGTTCGAAGTCGATATGCAGGTGAGAGGAAATGGCGAAGTCGATTTAGCACTCGATCTATCGTCCAACGACCACCGAATTCGTCATCCTCTTTCTCCGGTCGTCCTTCTTGTTTTGAGCTTGCAAACCCTCGTTTCAGATCTGGAACAACATCTTCTTCGTCCATGGCTCGTTCTTCCCCCATAGTTGATGTTCCCAAAAAACAAAAACGAACCAGTAAACTCAAATCCGGAGCTCCGGATGGGGGTGATGACGTAGAGCCTTGCAGAGGAAATGGAGGTGAGATAGCCGGCGACCACGAATTCCAGTAGCAAGAGCGGAAATAAGGCTTTCTTGTTTACCAAACCCGCCTCCAGATCTGAACCATTTGCGTTTGAGATCCAAACCGCAACAAGAAATCATATAGTTTTTGCTGTTGTTTTCTAAAGATACCAAACCATCTAAAACCCTAAATCCATAGACCTAAGGGCTAAGGAAAAGAATTCAGATTATTTCAAGTTGCAGAGAGGGACATTGGGGTTTACAGGAATATATGCAAGCTTGACGAACATTTTAATGGGAAGTGCTTGTGTGTTTGTTGGGTGTTTATGAAGGGATAATCTGACCTGCAAGTTTCCTTAAAAATTTGAGAGAGAGATATATATTTTATTTTTGTTTTATTTTTAATTGTTTTATATAATGTTGTAATAAAAGAAAAATTGAAAAATAAAATAATAAAGGGAAAATCCGTCATTATAGAAAGTTTTAAAAATTTTGGACCAAACTCGCAACAAAATGAAAACTTTGGACCTCTGATGCTAGTCCAAACCTTTTTGCACCAAAGTGGCAATTTTTGACATACCACAGGGACCATTTGTGCAGTTTAGTCTTATATCTAGACAAAATTGCAAAAATGGTTCCGGTGGTTGTCAAAATTATGTGCTTTTGGTCAAAAACGAAATGTTGGTACACTACTGGTCCAAAATTGGATCTTTTTAGTGATTTTGGTCCCTATCCACTTAAAAAGACAATTATACCCTTTATATTTGTTTTTCTTATTTTTATATAAATTTTAATGATTTTAAGTAATTAAAAATTAGAGAATGGCCCTCTCTCTCTCTTTCGCTCTCTCTCTCTCTCTCTCTCTCTCTCTCTCTCTCTCTCTCCGGTGGTAGCTTTCATCTTCTTCACCTCTCATCTCTCTTTCTCTCTTTCAAGAAAACACATTCAAGAACACCCTTACTGCCACCACCATCCTCCAGCACCACCAGACGCCCCAGATATGTTCGTACATCGAGGAAGGAGCGGTGACGACTTCGTTCTACACCATAGATCCGATGGAAGAAAGGGACAACGATGCTGAGAGAGAGAGAGAGAGTGTGTGTGTGTGTGTGTGAGAGAGAGAGAGAGAATATAAGTGAGTGGGGTACGAGGGGTGGGGTAGGTGTTATTTCTTTTTCTTTTAATAATAAGAAATTAAAAAGGAAATTAATAAAAGAAATATAAGGGCATATCCGTCTTTTTAAGTTGGGTGTGGACCAAAACCACACAAAGATGTCAATCATAGGGACCAAAATCGCACAAGGTATTCAAAATTGGACCAATGGTGCACCAACATTTCGTTTTTGACCAAAAGTACATAAATTTGCCAACCATAGGGACCGTTTTTGCAATTTTGTCTATATCTATCTATATTTATATATCCAAATATATATCTACATAACTCTCGGAGATCATTAAAATGAACATGGTTCAAGTTAATCCTCTTGGCTTGAACCATATTCATTAGAAACCATGGAACGCTTGAAATTATATTATACAATTGCCATATTCATTCTTGAAATTATCTTATTTAATTACTACGTTTGGAAATGTTCTTTCGCTTATTATACTTAATTAGTTAATTGAAATTTGATTTCGGTTAAGTTTTTTTTAATACTAGCAAATGAAAGTCTATATAGCAACTCTAACTCTTACTACATTGAATCTTATTTAATTGTGAAATTCCAAAAAATACCAAAATTGGAGACTTGTGCCAACAAATGACCAAAAAAACACAAGTTTCCAAAAAGACTAAACTGTAAAATTGGTCCCTGTGGTTTATAAAAAAATGTGGATAGAATCCAAAAACTTTTCAACTTGCACCCTTAGTCCAAAAACTGAAATTTTTTGTGGTTTTGGTCCCTAAAAAGTTTAAAATTACTTAAAATCACTATTTTGCCCTTTTAATTTGTTTTTTTTTATGTATTATAATAATTCAGTAATTGAAAAAAAAACAAAAGGAAAATATTATCCACCCCATACACCTATAACACCCACCTTCCTTAGTGATTTAATTCACATACATACACGAATGAACTTCATCAATGAAGTTCTGGGGAAATCTGATGCAAATTCAATACACATACAAGCACACACACATCAATGAATTTTCCCCCGTTTGGATTACAGTTAAATAAACCACCACTATAACAAATATAGTATTACAACCATTGAGGTTACTATACTCTTATAGTTAACGTATTCTACTATCACTAGGTATTTGATTTACGGTTCACCCATATGCCACAATTAAATAATATATATGGCTAACATTGAAGCCAAATTGACATTTATAATCACCACATTGCGCATTACCACCCATAGATAAATATTCTTTGACACTAGCATTGGATCTCTCACCAACAATCTCCATATATATATATATATATATATATATATATATAGATATATATATATATATATATATATATATATATATATATATATATATATATATATATATATATGGGAAAAGTGAATATACCCTTAAGGGTATATAAGCTTAGGTACCCAAACTCACTATACTACATCGTTTTATATCATATATACATTGTAATACTCCAATGTTCTTATAATTCAACTTATAACTTGATTTACTTCCAGGATTTTTATAAATTTCACATTTATCTCTTCCTCTTACACAATTTTCCTTTTCAGCTATAAAATATATAGCTTAGTAGGTGTCCAGCAAAAAGATGTGATATAAGAGGAAGATAATAGTGAAATTTCGAGAATCTTGAAAGTAAATCAAGTTAGGGGTTGAAGTTTAAGAACATTATAATGAATATATCAAACAAAACGACGTATTATGGTGGGTTTGGGTACCTAAGCTTATATACTCTTAAGGGTATATTCACTTTATATATATATATATATATATATATATATATATATATATATATATATATATATATATATATTACCACTTGCATTGGATATGTCACCAATGATCACCTAAATTTCAACATTTCTATTTGACAGTTACAATAATCCTTCGTACTGCTAGTTGTTAGTCTCTACAGTATATTAAGATGTATCTTTTCAAAACAATACTGTTTATTATTCATATGTTAGCTAGACATAAATGTATCCTACACCACTCAGCCATTGTGGCCATGGAGGTTCGCCTGCAGTGACTCCAGGGCATGAGACAAAGCCTCATGTTTGCAGCGGGGGATTAGTCGTTGCGCGAAAGCTGGCCCAGAAACCCTCGTTAGGGAAGTTCCCTTTCCAAAAAAAATAACTTCATACCCCACAATTCACATACCATTTAACACACCTAATGAATATTGACTTACAACACCTAGCAAGTCACACTACTTAACACACCCAGTAAGGATTCATCAATAATCACCAATAGATTTATACTGTCCAAAGGTTCACAAATAATCACCAATAGATTTATATTGTCCAAAGGTTTACGAAAAAACACCAATGGATTTACATCGTCCACAGGTTCACCAAAAACCATCAATTCTATAACACCTCCTTTTGGATATACACAAGAGTGATATGCTATAATACCCCATAAGGTTCACCTATATAACACTAAGTTGTTAATACATATCACATTATAAACACATTACACCTAAGACATACCAAATTTGTTTTACACCTTCTATATAGATAATATTATGAACACCATATGGTATATTACACTTCTTTGGATATACCTTAGCCAAAGTTAATACATATATATATATATATATATATATATATATAGATATATATATAATATATATATATATATATATATATATATAGATATATATATATATATATTTACTTACGGCTGGAGTAACCAGAGAGTCAAAAAAGTCCAGGGAAGCTTTTCAAGTAGGATTCGAACCTACGCCCGACTAATCAGTTACCAGCCGACCGCTCTACCACTGAGCTTGAAATAAAAAAGGGGTTATATATATATATATATATATATATATATATATATATATATATCCCCATGTATTTTTATATGCAACCATAATATTACTAACACCTAATCATAGTACCATAATCACTTTATAACTAGATATCATCATCTAGAAAATGAGTGGTTACTCACTTGACTGGTTAGTCAAAACTAACTTATGCTTTGATCTTAAGCTCTACACTGCCTCTCTAATGTCCTCTTGTCAACACCTATTTACACAAAAGATCTAGTTCCCCAGAACTTGTCCCAACCAACTAGGACTTCATTCAATACCTCGACCACAGTGGTAATTCAACCAACCAATAACTAATCTCGGTAACCATTTGTTACCAAATTAATCAAGTTCCCAAATACAACTGTGACTTAGCCTTGTAAGCCCTTAGCTTAATCTCACGTATTTGGTAATTTCGATAAACTAGGGTTTACAAATCTTACCAACCAAATTAAGAATTTCATCATGAAATTCATCTACTAAACATACCATCGAGTTCGTAATAACACCATATCACGAACTCCTATCACATACTCATGGTCTAACAACCCCCTATAATACGTTATGTAAACATAATTATGTAATAACAAAACGAAAGGATACCTTAACCTATTCAGTGGTTTGTACCCTTGTAGTATCGTCAACATTCACCCCTCTCGACTTTAAATTTACTCACATTATTTACTGATCTTCGTTTCATAATGATCAGTTGGTACACACACACAGATATATATATATATATATATATATATATATATATATATATATATATATATATATATATATGTGTGTGTGTGTGTGTGTGTGTGTGTGTGTGTGTGTGTGTGAGTGAGTGTGTGTGTGTGTTGTAAATATTGGCCTAGGCGGCCGCCGGTCTGCAACTGCTTGCGAGTAGGGATGCTTGGCGGAATTTGGTCAATATCGGTCAAACTCGGGCTAGGCGGTCATTGGCGCTCCTAGGTGGTCTTTAGTGCTCATAGGCGGGTTAATTTTAAAAAATTCAAATTTTCAAAATTTCAAATATTACACCAAAATTTAAAAAATTTTAAAATTTTAAATATTCAAATATTCAAATACTATACCAAATA